TATTCTTAATTTTAAAAATTCCATATTGACAAGCTTTTGTTGTCAAGAAAAAGTTGGGGTATTAATACAAATATTACACACACACACACGCTGAACAGGTTTTGTTCTTCCTATACTGACATGTACTACTTTATTACTGATTATCTTTCCTCAAAGTACATCACACCTCATTAAATCCTCACAATATTATAAGATATGATCAGCCTCATTTTACATCTGAGGAGCCTTAATAAATTATTTGACCAAAGTTGTAATTAGTAAATGGCAAAAACTTCAACCCATCTCCCCAGTGCTAAAATCAGTGTTCTTTCTACCCTATACTGGCTGCCCATTTTTAGGGCTAGAATATGTTCACTCAGATAGTATGTGAATATATACTCACAAGTGTAGTAGTATGGGAAAGTATCTGGGTCTCTTAGCCTTTTCTATGAACTCAAAAGTGTTAAGTTTACACACTGCAGTCATCTTACTGCTAAAGTAGCTCACCCTGTAATAACCTATGTGCTTGATAGTTCAACACACATGGTTGTAATAAAATCTTATTAAACAAATAGCTTATTTGCTCCAGAGAATAAGGAATGCTGAATAAGTCACTAATACTCATTCCATTAAGAGCCTTTCAAAACTTTTTTTTTTTTTTGGAGATATAGCAAATGTGTTTTCTTGTCCAAAACTCCTTTACCAAGAGAATGAAACTTCCTCCATTTCAGAGAAATGCTATTCAATCCATGGAATGAGGTAAGAATAGGGAGTCCAGACTTCCTCTGTACAATATCACCAGCCTTGTAACTCAAAAACCAAACCCCCTGCCATCGAGTTGATTCTGACTCATAGCAACCTTACAGGACAGAGTACAACTGTCTCATAGGGTTTCCAAGAATGTAGATCTTTACAGAAGCACACTGCTTCGTCTTTCTCCTATGCAGTGGTTTGTAGGTTCCGACTGCTGACCTTTTGGTTAGCAAGCATTCAGTTTGGTGCATAACACAAATTAGGCCAATCAGGTGTCTGGCAGTTATAAGAAAGGCTTTCTTTTTTCCCTTGGGATTGGCAGATGAAGGGATGGAAGATGTGGGCTTGAGGTGTCAATTCTAATATTCTTACCAAATATAAGCTTTACCGGAAAATAAGATCCAGCAGGGCTAAGAGGAGGACAGAGTAAGCACTATTCCTATTATTTGAACCTCTAGATCCAACCACACTTCCCTGAGTTTTCCAGATTTGAGTCAAAAATCAAGTCCCTATTTTGCTTAAACTAGTTTGATTTGGGTTTCTGTTTTTACAAATTAAAGTGTTCCAATGCAAAACTCTTTCTAAAATATTTTATTTCTCCAAGCTTCTGAATTAAGGCTACTGAATCCAATCTAAGTAATCTATGACCGTGTGATCTATCACCAGTGTATTATAATCTATTAGCCTCAACTGTTAAATGGGAGCAACAAAAGTATCTACTTGCAAAAACCTTTGTGAAGATTAAATGAGCAAAAATACATAAAAACACCAAGTATGATGTCTGACATTAAACAAATATTCTCTCTCCCCACTTTTCTCAATTACCTTTTCAAAACAGCAGCAGATTAACATTTGAGTGCTTCTAGTTCTAAGTGTTTTTCATATTAACTCACTTAACATAGCCAATCACCGTGAGGGAGGCGCTATCATTAGCCCATCTTATAGAAGAGGACAGTAAGGTGTAGAGGTTTTGTAATTTATCCAAGGATACACATGGATATTGTGGGAGAGCTGAGATACAAACTGGAATACTATACAATCATAGATTGACTTTGTTTTCTTTACTGTGAGGCTGTCAACTCTCACCTCTTCTGATGTCACTGAACTGGTCTTCAGAAGACTGTTCGAAAGTTTAGTTTTTGTACTCTTCTGTAAATGAGGAAATAAGCTCATCAAGCTTATTGCACATTTAATGTCAAATAAAATAAGGAAACTTCTAAGTGTGGACCCAAGAGACATAATAATATATTAAGCAGAGATGTCTGTAGTAGTTAATTCCCTTTCAGCAGCTTTTTCTGTTCATATCTTGTGCAAAGCATAATGTCAATGTACATACATACGTACCTATACTCTATTTTTTTCAAGTATTCCCTAAAAAAATGTAATTAGCCATAAGATACTTACTTTTTACTGAGCACTTATAATGTGCCAACATTAACTTAAGTACTTCATTTACTCCACACAGCAATCTTAACAAGTACTGTAGGACCTAATAACAGCTGAGAAAGCTATAGTCCAAGGTGTACAGGGAGAACATGGGAATGCTGGCATAAGCCATATACACCCTCTGATCTCCATCCACTTTGTGATGTTGTCTCCATTAGGGCAGGGGCTTGGTCCTTTTTGCATTCTCCTAACAACTAACTCTGTGCAAGGCACTCAAGAACACTCAATAAATATTTAGTGTATCACTAAAGGCTTTTTAATAAAGAGACAGCTCTTTCAAATGATATCAAAGAAGACATTAATATGAGAGGGGTGTTTTTTGAATAGAGAGGAAAAAGTTTTTAAAGGTGGATTCTTTCTTCACAATCTACGGTACTTTCTTTAATCCTAAAAGCATGTACTGTCCCCATAATACAAATTTCTCTTCCCCTTTTCATCAGGAAGATTTGTATGCTCCATCTAACTAACACCCAGTTGGGGAAAGTAGCTTCTAAAATGTCTGAAAATGAGATGGAGAGAGCATGAGAAAAACAGCGAGTCAGCCATGAAATAAGTTTGTTTTTATCTCATGATTCAATTTAATCCTCCTTACCCCTAATTTTTTTTTTTTAATATTATGACCAATATGTGCCATTAAGATAGCTATTAAGGGTGAAAGGACTAATTAAAACTATAATTATCTGATAAGAGTAGCAAACTGTCTAACCTGTTTTAGGGCAAATTCATCTACTTGAACTAAAAATACCAGTCAGGCATAAAAGAAAAGGTGAATAATGAAATAAAAATTAACCATGTGGTTCCTGTTTCCACTACATATTTTCCAAGTAACCTAAGGCATCATTCAAATACAGAGTCACAGTGTTTTTAATTTTTATTAGTAAGAGTTCTGAGTACAAATAACAAGTGGATGTTTAGGAAAAAATTACTCTCTAGATTTGTTCATAAAGAAAAATCTATTCACCTTGTTATACACTTTTAATCTCTAATTTCAATGTTTAACACCATAATGCTTCTGTCCATAACTAATTTAGGTTTAATTTAAATAACTGTTTGGCTGCATCTAGTTAAAGAGACTTACTTTTACATCAAGTAAGAAAAAGCAAGAGACCACTGAAAATGACTTGAATATAAAACTTCAGTATTTAAAATTCTTAAAAAATAAACTTTAAAACAACTTAAAAATTAGAATACCTTCAGCAGAAAAATTAGCAGCTAAATTTAAAAAATTAACATTACATAATAATTATATTTCATCAAAAACTGCATCACAGTAATATTGTTCTATATATACTGGAATGATTTGCAATATACTTAATGCTTATATCAGACATAAAAAAATCTATTAAGGAAACTTTTAAACATAGTTCTACACTTCTGGGGGATTATGTTCTCAATAAATTTCAGGAACACAAATTAAAAAATGATTGGTGGAACATCCTTTAATTAGAGACCTAAACTAGGTAAATCTTGTCAAATAGTAACGAAGTGGTATTCAATAATAAGCATTTATAAGAATTCAAGATAAAACAAAAATTCTAGTGCTCTCACTAGTATGTATGCTTAGCATCAGAAATCAAACTATGAGCAAATACACAGTTTAAAACAATACTGAAAAAGAAACTCACTTTAGATTAAGTGCTAATACAAATTCTTATTCTTCCCCTGACACACTATTTCCACCAGTCCTCATTTTACCAGTGTTTTCTTCTTAGTGTGTATTCTTAAATGCTTCTTAAAGACTAATCATACCAGTATAATCCATAATCCTTACTCCTTTGCAAATGAAGCAAACCTCCAATAGCAAAAAAAAAAAAAAAGACCAATGCATTTCAACAGAAAACCATCTACCTTACCCAACAAGGCAGAAGCCCTATATTCTAAAAAATTTTTATCTAAGACTGCTTCAAAATTACTCCTATAAATCCAGTAATACTATGCTGTTGTTATCTTCCTGGTCTGAGGATAAGTTCAAATATTAAAAGTATATATTAAAATTTCCAAATTATATTACTCTGGAAACATAATTGAGTTGAAAAATCTTTCTACATGGCAATGAAATTTCTTCTATTCCTTATATTTGGTATGAAATCTTAGTCATTGAGAAACAAAGAACGTAGGTGAAGAAGAAGAGGCATTATTGATTACACTGCACCCAATCCTCAGGGACCAATGACAGAGGGGAATTGTCCATGCAAACAGAAAAAAATCTTCTGAATTCAACCTAATATGCTACCACAGGTACAGTAAGTGATTTTAAGAGATTTGTAATTGGGAAATGAGTAGTATTTAACGGCATTTCCAAAGGAATAGGACATTTCGAATATTGTTATGTCACTGCCAACTCTGGCTCTGCTTTTCTAGGCACCAGGACCTCACCTCATTTGTGAATAAGTAGCATTTGTTCTCTACTACATGGGAGCTACACTTTCCAACACAAAGCCTCCCACTCTTAATTTCCATTCAAAAATTAGTGGGAAGAGTGTATTTAGCTCATTTTTTATGACGAAAAATTATTAGGAAATGAATATGACCTCCAAAAGAATCAAACTTCGAACGGTGGTAACTTAAGAGGCAAAACTGATTTGTAAATAAAAAATAAGGTATTCTATTTTTGGTTTCATTCAAAAGCGCCTCCTTCATTCTTAACAAACTAGCTGTGAGTGTGGATATGAGCTACTTTTTATAATCTGCATTGTATTTAGCTGTTAAAAAACACTCTTTAATAAGGACTTCTGAACATTAACAAGTATAAATGTTTATAATAAATACTGTATTAAAATACTTTAATATTTACAATTGGAAAAAATATATAATCTAGCCAGTCATCTCATTGTTACTTCTTCAATTTCATCTTCTACAGAATCAACTGCTTTTACTGTTGCTTTATTATTTGCATGTTTTAATCTGCTTCTATTCGGATTAAAACTTCTTCCTTCACTGAGGAAAAAGTCATCATCTTCATCTTTTTCTCGGCCTCTGCTGCTTTTATCCCCAGGGACAAAATGTAGAGGGTCAAAGTCTCCTCTGCTGACAGCCAGAGAATCTGTACCACTGCTTTTAGAGGAAATGGTGCTGCTGCCACTGGCACCAAATAGCTGTTCCATTAGATTAGCTTTTTTTTCTTTTCTTGTTAAATCTCCACTGTCTTTATTAAGTTTTTCCATAGTGTTATTTTCAAACTCCAAAAGGCCACTTTTTTGACTAAATAAATTTGACTTCCCTGATACTTTTGCAAATGAAGGCACATAGCTACCAAATGCAAATTCTTTTGGAGAGGCTGTGCTTCTAAGATCTCTTGGATTCACGTCCTCTCCTTTTGTAGTTAAAAAACTGATGTCTTGCAAATGATGCCCATTAAATGATCTCTCTGAGGATTCAGAGAACATGTATGTTTTGTGGCTTTTCTCTCGGGAGTCCAGTTTTGATTCAAAATCAGGTAGCAATGGCAGAAGAGGATATTTTAGGTTCCGAGAATCTTCCAGTTCTTGACTGATCTCATTCAGTTTAGCAAGTAGCATTTCTCTCTTCAGTCTCTCCTCTTCTTTCTCTTCTTCTAATTTATTAATATCTTGAATTTGGTACATTTCCACTTGGTATCTTCCGGTTTCCAACTCTGGCTTTTCTTCTCTTTTCAGTAAAAATGTATTTTCTCTTTGCTTTTTATCACGTTCTTCTCTTTTCCATTCTGTATGAAATTAAATTTTAAAAATGGGATTTTACAGCAGTCAATATTTTTCAATAGGAAAACTCGACTACCATCTTTTACAAAACAAGTCTTTATCTGATTCGGGTAAGGTATATACAGTGAGGATGAACACCATAAATCTCATTTCTATATTTGATACTGTGGGATTCAAATAGAATTTAATTAATGCATAGTGCATCTAACATTCACATTTATTAAAAAACTGTTCTTTGAGATATGCATGGGGAAGAAGGTTTTCTGCCTATACTTAACATAGTGAGTGGGAGATTATGGGATGGAGGGCACACAGACGAATGGATGCATGGAACAAAGACCTTTACAATTAAAAATCAATGAAAACTCTGGATGTCATATTTTTAGAAGAACTTATGTCATATTCTGACAGAAGGATCACTTATGCTGTATTCTGACAGAAGATGTATAACTTATAAAGAGAAACTTCAGACAACCCAAAACGAGGAACATTCTATTTTAAAAACTGGTTCTATATTTATCAAAAATGTTGACCTCACAGAATATGAAGGCTGAGAAGCTACTAAATTTAATTCAGGATCATGTCCTGGAAGGGGGGGGGGATGCCATAATGAACATTATTTTGTCAATTGAAAAAAAATGTAATATGATCGCAGATTAGATAAATATAATCAAAGTTAAATTTCATGAAGATGAAAACTATAATGGTGTTATATGAAAGAATACCCTTATTTAAGGGAATACTTAAGGGTATGAGGCATATGTTATACAACTAACTCTTAAATGATTATTTGGTTATTCTTGCCACTTGTCTATATTTTGAAGTTACTTCCAAATGAAATATTTAAGAATACTACAAATTCATTAACTAGCAAATGGCATACCTTCTCACTGACTGATCAGAGATTATTCCATACAGATACCAGGAAAATAATCAGTGAAAAGAGAACAAAAAAAGTACAGTCTTCTGTTATTTTATTCTTTTCCTAGCTACTTAGAATTGACTATAATATCTAATTTGCCACTACACCTAGTTTAACTTGTGAAAGCATCTCATTTTGTGCATTAGCTACCAGTGATGTAAACAGTTTTATTTCAACAGTTATATTATTAAATATATATTTTATTTTAAGCAACAATTAGGTCATGAATTTATGTTTCATTATCAGTTCAAGAAAAAAATAAAAAGTATTTCTCTGTAAGTAGCTACCATATTACTAATAAAACAAATAGCTTGGAGTTTTGGACCCCCTTTTGCCACACCTTTAAGACATTTTATCCAGATGGACACCTTCTTGAATGTAATTTCCAATATTTAAAATTGTGTGACTTGGTTGAACATGTTACAAGATTTAATTTACATATTAAAACCAAAGAAAATTCTAAGAATATATTCAGGACCTAACAATTTACTAATTTTATGCATAAGCTATTATAGACTAGAGAGTCTCAATAAAGTGGGTTATCTTTCAGATGTCTCTTCATCAATTTTTAGTTAATACACAAAGAATTAGGAGCTCTGGTAGCATAGTGCCTAAGGCACTTGACTGCTGACCAGAAGACTGGTGGTTCAAACCCACCAGCCACTCCTCGGAAGGAAGATGGGGCAATCTACCTCCGTAGTGATACTGCCTTGGAAACCCAAGGAGGGGTCGCTATGAGCTGGGTCTGACTCGACGGCACATAACAACAACAACAACAACACAAAGAATATATTTTTTCTTTCATCTGAATCCTACCTCATCTGAATTTTCTAAAAGTTAACTAATTCTTATTCCCTAAATCCAAATAGCAACTGACTTAGTCTTTAACTTCTCCTTTCTTTAATAAATTCATTCAAAATTTTGTGATTCCCCTCCCACTGCATCAACCTTTCCACTTTTTATATATAACCAATTCAGGTCAGAGAAGATACTAGAGAAACCAACTCTTTCCCAAGAAATACTGACTCATCACTTACTTAAATAAACTCTTTTTCTTACCATTCTCCAGCTTCTCAACTTCCTGTTTTATAGCATCGAGTTCTTTTATGAATTTTTCTTCTCCTTCCACAAGTGGATCTAGAATCTCTGCTTCTTCATGCTTACCTCTCTCTTCTTCACCCAAATCCTAATTAAAAAAAAAAAAAAAAAAAATTCCAAATCACAATAAAAATCAAAAAAAAAAAAAAAAAAAATGCAAGGGGAAAAACTGTTTAAATATCATAGATACATCTTCCATTACATATAATTACCAGCTAATTTTGGAATTAAAGAAAATTTTCACTTAATGAACTAATGTCACAAATTATCACCTATGAAAGATGCTTCAAAAACACAATTACTTCTTTCTTTAGCTAAAATTTTAAGGAACCATTTATAGGCTATATGAAAATCAATATAATAGAAGTAAAGTCAATACCCTACATAAAGTTCTGAAGAAACAAGTATCAAAATATCCTTGCATTGTACATTTTCACAAAAAATGTGATTAATTCAGTGAAGGAGTCAAGGCTATTAGCCAACTGTATTAGTGAGTGGCTCGCCACCCGGATGTAGTGATTCCCCATGATGAGACTAGTAAGCAACTCCATGGTGGAATCTGCTGTGAGCAGTAGCTGCCTTAGAGATGTGGTCTAGTTCCAGGATATGTGCGGCTTTAAGAAAGGTCTTGAGTTTTTAGCATGCTTGGACCCTATATGTAGCCGAATTTTCATTCAGCAGGTTGCCATGTTGACTGCTGATCTTGGGACTGTTTCTGGACTTGAACTAGTGGCCTGAAGTGTTGCTTAATAATCTTGGGATTATTTTACTTGTGCCATTTTAGGGTTTGCCAGCCTCAGCAGCAAGCAGCTATCTGAGTTAAGAGAAGCCTCCAGCTCCAGTGGACCAGGACCAAGAGGTCAAGTTGAAGCCCAAGGTCAAGGGGCCTTCACTCAGCCCCTAGAGCTTGGCTGGCACTTTGAACTCAGACTTATAGCCACCTAAGCTGTAGGAGAATAAATTCCTATTTGTTAAAGCCATTCTACTTGTAGTATTTTCTGTTACAGCAGCATAGAGGACCAAAACACCAAGTATGATAGCCAAGTGTAATGATGCTGAACTGCAACAATGGGCAGTAATAATTGCAGTAAACCATTCAAGTTTATACTATGCCCAAAGCCTCCAATTAATAATTTTTACAATGTTTCAAATCAAATGAAAGTGCTATAAACTTAAAAGTCCTTATTTATTATTATCACCATTTTGATAGGCTTGTATAATTTTTCTAAATGAAAGTAAAATAATAGAAATTGTTATTAGGAGAGACTGTCAACTGTCTTATAGTATCCATTTTCCCCTTCTTTCTTTTAGTAATAAAATCCTCTGAGCTTCAGCAGAACATAAGTCTACCCAGACAGAGATTACATTCAGTAGCCTCTTTTGTAGCTAGATAGGTCCAATGGGATATGAGTGGAAGTATGTGTGCTATTTCTGATTAATTTTATTAAAATAGCAATAATAATAAAAGCTGCTTGCCCTCTACTTTCTTGTTACCTCTTACCATGAAAGTGGTGAGCCCATTCCAATCACACAGAGGATGGTCAAACTCTTTAAGATGGTAGAGCAATAAGAGAGAATGACAGCCATGGAACAAAACTGCCTACCTATCCTGGACAACCCACTGATCTTCAGTCTATTATGAGAAGGAAAACAATTCCAGTGGCTTGAGCCCTGTGTTCTAGCTCTTTGCAATATCAGCACCTTACCTGTACCTAACTAATACAGCTACCATTTTCTAAGATCCTTTAAAATGGCAGGCTGAGTCTTAAAAGCCTTATAAACTTGATCATAAATATCTACCACAACTCTAAAAGGTAAACCACATCACTATTTTACAGGTAACAAAATTGAGGGTACGGGAAATCACACAACTAAAATGTTAGAACCAGAGTTTAGTTAAAAGGTGATGTAAGTCCAAGACTCTTTTCAAGTTGTGGCCCCTCCTGCTCAATCTTACAACATTAAGATTAAATATGTTTATCTTTTTAAAGTAAAGAATCATTCTTCAATTTTTATTCCATACTTTACCATTTTCAAAGAGATAAATCAACATCAACTGGATACAATGACAGTGCAAATAAAGGAAGATACACATTTAGTAGACACAGCTAACAATTCCAAATTATAAAACAAAAGCAAACTAAACAAACAAAATATGTTTATTATACACAGAAGAACCACATCAGTACATCCTTTCTGTGTGTAGTATAAGAAGAGATCTAAGGATCACTGGGAAGCTTACAAGGCACAAAACTATAAGATTACATGAAATATGCTGAATCTATATAATGATGTCTTCAGAGTTTAAACTGTAAACAGTAAATATCAAATACTTATAGGAAAAAATAAATCAAAACGGACCTTCCAACGAACCTTCAGTATGTAAAAGTACTTTTACATTGAAGGTCCAATTATCTTCTTCAGCACTGAACTGACATGTAAAGCTATTTCTACATAGAGAATACTAAAGATATTAAATGTGGTCAAATTCTAATAAATCATTTGAAAACTACTGAAATTTGCTATTAAAAATAAAAGCTGTGGGAGGTTTTCAAGACTTATCTGTGAACACAGAAAGTAAGAAACTCAGAAGGTAATAAATTATTCTCTCTCCTACCTCCAACCTAAAAGGTATAGGCAAAATTTCTCAAGAATCTGAAAGATACATTGTGCACTAAAGGAGATAAATGATGTATTTAATAAAATACACAGATGTAATCTCCTTTTCTTTGATTTTCAAAATATTTGATATTGAGTTTTCAGGAGTAACTTCAAATCTAGAGCTGGGTACCTAATCATATTGCTAAACTTACCAAAGTAAGATGTTCAGGTTCTTCACATTTGTTTTCATAACACATAATTGTTTCTGGAGTTACAGGAAATTCTTCCAGCTCAAAGTCTTCACTGGTTTGTACTCCTTTTGTACACTGGTCTGTAAAGTCACTCTGGCATGCAGCTATCATGAAAATTACAGAAATATTTTTCTAATCACATTGAACAATGATAAGATATATGGAAGTGAAATAGTATACTTTTACCATCTAAATAAGATAATGCTAAGTTCAACAAATACTTACTAGTACTAATTTTGTTTCTAATAATTACGGGATTTAAGACATCCTAACTGTAAATCCTATTATGGTACAAATTTATATTTTAAAATTTTTGCAATTCATAGGAGAGAAGTTGTACTTTTGCTTAAATGAAGTAAAAACATGTGTAAAAATACCAAAATATTTCAGTGAAATAGCTGGGACATGCTTTAAAATACTCCAGAAAAAAGTAGAGAAAACATGAAATTGGTAAAATGTGTAACTATTAAAGCTAGATGACGTATATATAAAGATAGATTATATGATTCTCTCTAGGTTAAAATGTGCTTAAATTTTTTCATAAAAGTTTTAAAAATAAGTTTAAAATAAGAACATTCCAAAAAATGTGGAACACTCAACAAATGACTTCTCAGGAGAATAAAACACAGAAAGTTGATAGATTTCTGTAAATTAATTATTAGGAAATTTCAATTCAACAAAATATATTAAGAGGAGTTCCGGCAAGATGGCAGATTAGGCAGATAGACTGCACAGACCCTATTCAACAAAGAAAAGGGAAACCAACTAACACAGACACAGAAGATAATCTTGGACCCCTGAGCCTTGAAGGGAAGGATACAGAAGTGGACTAAACCCCAACTAGCAGAAGAATT